ATCAAAACTCCAACAGGACCTTCTTTCTAGGCTGTCTGATGATTTAAAGTCAGCATATTGTTGCTACAAAAACACCTCTGGCACTATATAAAGAAAATAAGTTTATTTGGCTCATAGTTTTGGGGGCTGGAAGTTCAAACATCATTGTGCAGGCTCTGATGAGGGCCCCTCTTGGTTTCATCACACCATGGCAGGAAGGCACCTGTGTCTATGTGTGGGCTCCCTCTTTCTTAACAAAGTCATCATGGTGGCTTCATCCTAATGACCTAAACTAATCTGATCAATTCCCAGAGTATCGCCTTTCAAATACCATTATCAGATTAAATTTCCATGCTCTTAATACTGTTAACATGATCGTGGGAAAGTGTGAAATACATCTCCCAACCTTTTCACTGTTTGATACGCCGAGTTCTTGTTCTCTAGAAACCAAAGAATGAGTCCCAGGAATGGCAGAGGTTAAAAGTAGGAAGATATTTATTAATATGAAAGCTCCTGAGGGGCAGGAGGGGATCCTGAGTGCGTAGCCCAAGGACCCCACTTTTACAGAGGAGTTTTATAGGGTGAAACCCATGTGAGTACAATGTGGGCCATGGCCATGAACATCCAATAAGATTACAAGTACAGTCACTTAGGTAATGGTGGTCTAATTGGGAAGCAAGTCATGTAGTAAGCATGGATGGAAAGAACAGGGATTCTACTAGGAGGCCGTGGGTCCAGGGGTCTCTGGTCACTCCCAGGGTGGTCGATGCCTGTCTATACTTCGCTAAGCCCAGTTCTTTGGAGAAGTATGTGGGTCGGGTCATCTTATCTCCATCTTAAAGCCTGGTTTTCAGCCAACGTGCAGCTATGGTGTGTTTCACCTTTGTCCTGGTCCTCTTGAGGACTTGGCCCTATCTGACTGCCTATAATATTTCTATCAACTCATCTATCTATAATAACATGAGATTCTGAGGATTAAACTCCTGCCTGAGTTCAGGAGAACAAATTGTACTCAAACCATTGTAGCCATTCTACATTGAATCTGAGGTAGAATAGAAGAAATAAAAAATAGAAAGGAGACAAGGAAAAATCTTAACGTTAAAAATGAAAGCTTGAGCTTCAGGACACAAGCTCAGTGTAATTTTTTTCTCTCTTCTTCCTGAACATAATACAGTGGACCCTCAATTTATGGCCGCCTGACATACAAACAACTTGGGTTAATTAGGTTAATGGAAGATTCATCTACCTCTTGCTATCTATAGTGTATATGCAGGTAAAGATCCAGATCTCAGCTGTATTGACTTACAACCAGCCCCTGGGAACTGATCAAGTTCCTAAATCAAAGGTTCATGGTGTGCCTGGCAATTCTCTTTCACTTCCAAATGGCTGGTCTTCCCTTTTTACTTGCAAATGGTCCTCTTTCACCTGTGAATAGCTCAAAAAAAAAAATCATTACACTTGTAAATTAGGTTTTCCTCTATGAATAGGCCATTATCTTACTAAGGTAGGCCATCCTCCCCTATTTACCAAACCAAGATCAAAACTATAGATTATCAAATTCCACAGTTTCCACTGCCAAAAATAAAGACCCCTAGTTCCAAAGTGTTGTGTCTTATTTTTCTGAGCACCAACACTGCACTCTTCTGTGTCCTAAAAATCTCTGCCTAATAAAATTCTCTTGTGCCTTTTTACTGATACACCTTGAAAATTCTTTCCTTGCAACTGAAGTCAGTGAACCTCCAAGCATTCTATGGTTAGGGTGAATTAAATTCTTCATCTCTGATTCAGGAAACTCTTAGACCCAGCCGAAAGACAAAGCCCAGAAGAACACAGCAAATTGTTAGGAAAACAACTGGGACTCTTGAGAGGGCCTAATTCTATCATATTGAAGGCTGGGATTAGGGTGTGGCCAAGCCATCTAGGCAGGTGGGTGGGATCCATCAATCAGAGAGATCTCCTGAACATGCCAATCAGAAAATGCCCTCTTTGAGGGCCAGGGATTTAGCTCAATGGTTCTGCTGCCTGCCTTGCAAGGGCAAGGTCCTGAGTTCAATCCCTGGTACCAAAAAAAAAAAAAAGAAAATGCTATCTTTGTGGCCCGGGATATAGCTCAGTGGTGCAGCACCTACCTGGCAAGCACAAGGTAAAAGCATACAAGGAATGAGTAAGGAGGGCTGGGGATTTAGCTCAGTGGTTCTGCTGCCTGCCTCAAAAGCAGAAAGACCAGATTCGATTCCCAGTATGGAGGAGGGGGTGGTGACAACTCTCCTGTAAAATCTTGGTCCTCCACCCAGATGCTTGATACCTATTTAGAATATCAATCACTGCTAGTCACCCTTCACAGGTGTGGTAGTTTCCTCCTCTTTTACAATACTGACCTTCAGAGAATGTGTCTTGTCTTCCACGTTGGCTCCTTGCAGACCAGTCCTGTCTAGATACCTACAAGATACCTACTTAATTTGCCCAACAACAATACAGATTTGTGATAAAACAACCTGGATCTGACATCAGCCTGAGAAATGGGGGATATAAAAGACAGCCACCATTAACCTTGTGGACACTGCTCTTTTCCCCGGTGGCCACTGTCTTCCTGGATAGTGTACTCTTCCCTACCTTTAATCGGCACACTCTCGCACTCCCAACAAAGGACAGGCTTCTTCCCATCATGCCTCTTCTTCCGCCAAAAGAGCAACCTGATACTTGCTACCTCCTAGCAGCTAGTGATGTCACAAACCCCTCCAGTGATGTCACAGGCTCCTCCAGTCTTAATTCTACCTCGCTCACCTCCACCCCAGCTCAGGCTAACCCCATCCCGCTCCTATAAAAGAAGCTCCCTGTTCTGCCACGTTGTTTTTCCCTCCTTCGGAGACAACCTGGCAGATCTAGGCTTGTTATGGGTCTGGTCTGGTCCTGGTTTTTGGCTCTTTTTACCTAACGATTCCGAATGTTAAAAATGGAATTTAAAAGGTAAACTCAAGCCAGGCGTGGTGGCGCACACCTGTAATCCCAGCACTCGGCAGGCTGAGGCAGGAGGATCGCTGCGTTCGAGACCAGCCTGGGCTACATAGTGAGTTCCAGGTCAGTCTCAAAGAAAAAAAAAAAAGGGAAATTCA